TTCCTCCTACAGAGCCTGTTTGGTGAGTCCTATATTCTTTCTGGAGTAACTAGCCTAGAAATATTGATGTAGGTTAACTCTTATTTCCTGCTGATATTATGTCTTCAAGTAGTTTCAGGTCACCAGATCTCCCTTTCTATAGTGTTTGTGTCAGGTGAGGCCCTATTGTGTCACTGGGGGTTTCATAAGCTCTTTTGATTTTCTCCAAGTTGTGGGGGGCCTTACTGGCACACTCCTCAACTTGTCCAATGTTCTTTGTATGGCAGAGGAGATTATTACCCACTCTATTGCCAGGTTTGCCATGGTCTTAAAGTTGATGATTTTCTATCATGTTGTTTGAAGTCCAGTAATGCTCTCATTCTTTTTTTATTGGTTTTAGTCTGTTTTCTATTATTTGTTTTCAATATATGTGAAGGTATGGACAGCTATTCTGCTGAGAGCAAGAGACATTAGGATAACCATTGTTGATTTTCCTGTTGTCTGATTTGAAGACCAGTAATGCTTTCACCTTTTGTTTTGATCAGTTTTACACTGTTTTATTTTGTTTGCATTCAATGTTTGTGAAGATATGGACAACTATTTCAGGTAGAACAGGAGACAATGTGGAAGCCATAGTTGATTTCCTGTTGTCTTGCTTGAAGTCCTGTATTGCTTGCACCGTTTTGTTCTGATATGCTTTGTTTTGTTTTGTTTTGTTTTGTTTTATTCTCTTTAAAATAAATTTTAAAAGTAAGTTCTAAAGGCACCAAGATTGCAGACAAAGCAGTGACAGGAAATTTTTAATCAGAATGGCAACACTATGCAATAAGAAAATTCTTAGGGGATGACCATTATCATTGCTTTCAAATGACTAGGAAAACCAATTAAAGTTTTATCTGTAATAATTGCTTGACTTTGAATTCCCAGAGACAATACTTTTAAGAGAGATTTGAAGCAAAGCAGTTTACTTGAGAGGTGAGAGTGAGAACTTGACATGGAAGGAGAAAATAAATGAATAAAAGCTACACAGTTGATGAGGAAAATAAATCGAAAATTTAACAAAGCACAAATAACTTCAAACTAATCACATTCCCACAGTAGTAGTCACTCAGATTTATTTCCTAACTCGCTGAAATGCTCTGGAGCTTCCAACAAGTTTTATACTGAAGTCATACCCTGGATATCATGCTCAACAAATTTCTTCATTCATTTATTTATGGAACACCATTGTGCTCTAGTAACATTTAGGTGTAATTAAGACTGAAAAACAGTTTCAGCATTCCTGTTGCTGATACAAAATGCCAAATGCTCATAACTTCAAGATTTAATTTAGTTTATGGTTTCACAGTATTCAATCCATGGTCCCCTGGATCCAAGTAGGAACATCACAGCAGAAAGGCATGATGGAGCAAAGCTGATCTTTTCATGGTATCTGAGAAGCAGAGCTGAGGAACAGCTCTAAGGAGAAGAGGCCATAAACCAGATACAGCACCAGAATCACACATCTCTGACCTGTCCAGATTCATGCAGAAATGTGCCTTACTAGTTCCCCTGACATGACAAATCAAGTAAGTTGAGAGTCCAGCCTATCAGTCATATTCTACGTGTAAACTTTACACCCAAATATATGTTCTTAAACCATGATTCTTCCCACAAACAGTTCCAAAGACTTCTGAACCACACAATCAGATATACTCACATTAATGATCCCACTTCTCAGGTACAATTTTCTGTATTAGTCAGTTTTCTTGTTCATAGTAGCAACTGTGTGACACAGTTCACAGCAGAAACGTTTTAATTTGTCTCACAGTTTAAGATAGTGTAGTCTTTCTTCAGTCAGCTGGCTCTAAGGCAGGAACATCTTGGAAGAGGAGCTTGGTGGAGCAAATTTGCTTCATGGTGGCTAGGAAGCAGAGCAGGAGAAGCGTGTCCTTTGAGAAAAGGGCCCAGGATCAGAAACAGTCCTCAAGGGCACACTCCTGTGTGTCACCCAGACATACAGGTGCATTTTTTAATAATCTCCAGGGTGCTCACATTTTAATCAAGCTGACAGTCCAGTTTAACTGTCACAAAAAGTTACACCAGCTTCAAAGCAGGCAATTTTCATTACAGTGATCCAGTTCACTACAACTCTATTCTATTTTTCTTTATAGTCTGACTTCCAGACACTCATATATAGGAGAAAATATTAAATTTAGCACCTGCCATTGTGTAATAAGACAGAGTACCCAGACCTTAAATTCAAGATCTGTATTTAGTTTCAACAGTTTTTTCTAACAATTAACATACTGAAGACTCATTGGTAAAATTTCTTAAATCATGATTTCTTCAAATATTCAATTTTCTGGTCAGTTAGACTACCACAATTAAGATACCAAATAATCTTGTATATATTAGTAAATTTGATATAAATTCCTGTAAGAGTATTTGAAGAAGTATTTTTCAAAATTTTATAGCAGACAAGGGACAAAGTTGAAGTAATGCAGTAGAAAGTTTATTCTAGAATTCTATTTGACAGGATAAAATCAGAGAATGCTAAGAAATACAAGAGTTAAGAAGGGCCTGCCATAGAGATAGTAAGTAAAAAGTGAAAGTTAAAAAAGGAAAATTGTATATTAATGAAGAATGTTTGTGGTGACAGATGATATCAACAGATCAAAAAGTCTGGTGTTGGGAGAGAGTTGGTGTTTGGGGAGATCATAATAATACTGGGTCAATGTTCAAACATTCACACAATCAGCATCCAGATGCCCAGCTACTAATTCTTCTTGATTATGTCAGTATCCTCTTAAGTCTTTATCATATTGAAACAGAGGAGCTATCACATGCATATACTTCAAAAACAGAGCTAACTGTATTTGTCAGACTAAAAGACACCACTTTACTTCAAATTAAAAATAACATATTAAAGATGCAGCCAAAAAATTTCAAACTATAATGTGGTCTCAATATTTGCTGAGTGAACTGAATCTATTTTTGTAGTCTTCTCTGAAAAAGAAATAGGCATACCATGAGAGATGCTACAAAATGGTCATACAGTAGAGTAGTGTACTTTGTTGTACATGGCATCTCTGAAGTTTAAAAAATTCTTTCTTTATAAACCTGATTTATCAAAATGTTATTGTCTTTGGAAATCATAAGTAGTTTTAAAGAGGAAGAAGGAAAGTAGAAACTTATTACCAGACTTTTATTTTTTTCTTACACATATTAAGAAAGTAGATGATTTACTGATAGTAAAACAGACCTAAGATTAAATTTTGGCTTGAGAGAATAAAAGGAGGATCCTTTAAAAACAATATATTGCCCCTCAGCAAGATCTGCAACAAACTAACATCTGGGACAAATGCTCTTCTCTAGTTATTGCAAGAAAGGAAATATTTCAGTAAACTAAAATAATAATTGTGAAAAATTATATTTTTATATTTCCCCTAAAAGCAAATAGGAAAAAAAACCTTTATGTCACCTGCATCTTCAAAGTCCATGCTTCACATTTTACCTTAATATACCCACTTATTTCTTACGTATTCATTTTTTTCCTTGTATTGCTATCTACTAGTGTACTAACTGTAATCACTTACCTGCACTTGCCCCTCTAAATGAAACAGTGGAAGAAACTAGAAATATTATTTTACGTATTTTTCCTCAGTCAACTTACCGGTCCTAAATTCTGCTATCTACCACCTCATTAATATTCAAGACAATCATTAACTGTCTGGGCAAAGCTATATTATATCATATTCCTCTCATGTCCCTTCCTACACTGCCACATACTCCAATGCAGAGTAAATAAAAAACTGATATTAAATCTGGAAAACCCTCTTTAAATATTTTTCTATTTTAAAAATTTTACTAATTCCAAAAGCCCGGTAGTTGAAATATTTAAGTAAATATTCAAAACTCAGTATGTCTTCCCCAAGTATTAAAAAGTACTTCTTGTAAATGCTTTTAATTAACCTGCCAAGGGGGAATTTTGCTTCCTAAAAGTTAAAACTGAATTGTATTTCTTTCCATTTTGCTTCAACAAACAGAGCTGTCAAAATCTGATGGATCATTCATAATGCCAGTGCTAAACAATATAAGTGAGTGCATTCAAAAGTCTCAAGAACTTGGGCTTTTTAACAAATTGTTTGTTTTTAAACTTTTATTTTCTCTTTCAATAGCTAGGTTTTGAATGTTGTGTTTTTCTACTTATACAGCTGTTGTCAGGGGTTGTGAGGAGAACAATTAAAATCAGTACATGGAATTTATAATATTATATTATGATGGTCACCCAGAGTTTAACACAAGAAACTGCAGGAAATCTATCTACAACACCAAAGACATAGAATGTTCAACCAAGGGCCACACTCAGAACAAGGACCAATGCTGCCCTGAAAAATTCCACAGTCATGCTCAGCAACATGGAGGTTCTGAGCTCCTCCCTCAATAAGCACAGTCAAGTACATTCCAGTAAGCCAGTGTGATAGTTTCTCCTGGAGATTAAATAGCACACGTCTTCCCCTCCGGAGCCAGGAAGTGATGCTCAATGTAAGGACCAGAGCCACCCCAAAGTGAACCACAGTCACTCTCACCAACAAGATCCCAAGTTCCTCCAATGACAATAATCTAACTCACACTCGGGAAGTCATAATGAGCTCCTTGAGGAGAACCAAGGGCTCAAACAACAACACATAGTAGAACCCACAATACCTCAACACCTCACTTGTCCTTATCCATGTCTCTATTTATGCTAGCAACTTTCCTCAGGTGGAACATCTACACTCAGCACCATGGTGATTTAATTCCGCTGGTGTTAAATTGACCACCACTTTTTAATCTATAACAATGGCCATGAATAATTCACATTATTAAGAGACCTTATCTGTGGTAGAGGTAACACAAGCAAACTGTGTTTCTGGAAAAGGTAGACTCCCAATTAAATAAAATGGTTAAAAAGAAAAAAAAAAGGAATGTTTAAGGGTGGGCTTTTGAGAAGGGATCAGTGACACTATTGTGAACAATTCAACGGTGAGGCACAGCATGTTCGCATCAGCAGCACATGTACTAAAATTGGAAAGACGAAGAGAAGACCAGCATGGCCCCTATGCAAGGATGACATGCAAATTCGTTTGATGTTTCATATTAAAAAAAATAAAAGCAGCAGCACAGATAAAGAAGCAAATAAGTTGCCTGAACATATCAAGAGTTCTAGTTGTAGATCTTTGCCACTTCTTACTTGCTCCTGCATTTGACCCACGAGGGGACTTTTCTGAATTGAACCAGTTGTCTTTGTAATGAGTTTAGTGTGGATGGTCCAAGTTGGCCATATGAGAATTTGAGCAAAGCTGTGATTGTGAAACAATGTAGGTCAAGCCTGTGTGTTTGGCTAGAATTGTTTGTCCAGCATCCATTCCCTCTATTTGTTTTTGACCCACATGCTGTTTTTTTGAAAAGGGAAGCCAACCAACACTTGCAATATATTGTGAATTTCATCCATATTGCATTACATTAAGAATAAACTTAAGGAGTATTTATGTTATAGATTATTTTTAACATTTGCCTTACTTTATGCCATATTATACAACTGAACTATATATGTCATTTAAAAACAAAATATGATTTATGTAATTTTATAACTCAATTAATTTTCTTCACTATCCAAATATCAAACATTTCTCAACTCCTGAGTCTATGTATTCAAAATGAAATATTTCTTTATTTTATTTTAATTTTGGTTTCTTTGAAAATGAAATACCTACTGAACACAAGTTCCAAATGAAGAACACTGAAAGGAAATTTTTCTTTCACATAGTATAAACTTCATACTTTCAGCCATATACCCTAAAATTCATGAACAAGTAAATGACCATCAAACTTAAGCTACTCAACTGAAGAGAATTGCATTAGTGAAGAATAACCAGAGTTTGGGTTCAATTGTCTATGACTGGAAAAAATGAGAAGGCAATCTATCTTTCAGCATCCCCAAAATTAGGAAAGCAATGTACCAAATTGCTGATATTTTTCTCTTTTCTCATAGCAATTCTAAGTGATACGTGTGAAATCCAATATTGTTTATTTACCTCAAAACATGAATAGTCCACATGTATTTCGGGACATTTCATCTATTTTAGTGACCTTTTTCAAAGAATAACTATACTAAGCTAGTTTTGTGCCATTGCTCGGTAACCAATGCACCAGCAGTTATATAAAATAAAATATGATTTGGCCACTTCTATTATTATAAAAATTGAAACAGTTTCCACAAGAAAAATAATAAGCCTTAAACAGTAACTATTTTCCTGTTAGTCTTGTAAAAGAAAGGAATCCTACCAATTGCAACAACATTAATAATCTAAAGGACATTATAATAAATTAAATAAGCCAATCATGGAGGGAGAAATATCACATGATACTTTTAAATGAGGTATCTAAAATAGTCAAGATCGTAAAATAATCAAGATTGTAGAATGGTGGTTACCATGAAGTAAGGGTGAAAAAATTGGAGTTTTCTACAATGGGTATAAAGTTTATGTTATGCAAGACGAATAAGTGCTGGAGATTTGATATACAACTTAATACATATAGTTAGTCAGCAATAATCAAGTGCTCTTAGAAAACCCATACACAAAAATACAAATAAGATTTCGGAGGTGATCGATTTGTTTAAACTTTGGTTACAAGGATGATATCAAATGTATATGTGTATATCCAAATTCAACAAATGTATATCTTGAATGTCGTCATTTCACACATCAATGAGACCTCAAATGCAGAAGAAAAGTAAAAGATAGATGGAGGAAAAAATTACCACCTTAAAAAATAGTAAAATTTTCTCACATTCACATGTTGTCACACCTCTAGCAAAACATTTTGACTGCAAAAATAACTTCAGATAATTGTTTCCATCTAAACAAATGCATTTACCTTATATAATAAATGACTTGTGCATGGATTTTGACTTAAAATTCAAAAAATTGCCCTACATTCAAGAGTTCAAACTTCGTATTAAGATTTTGCCTGGACCAATATTGACCCAATACTGGATGATACAGTTCCTGTGTGGGAAATATAGAAATTTTGAGGATTTAAAAATTGTAGTTAAGCCATGTGTTTAATGCCCCCCCCCCCCGCTCTTGGTACTGAGATTGAACTCATGACCTCGTACTTGCCAGACAGGTGCTTATACCACTAAGCTAAATCCCTGGCCCCATATCTCTTCTTTAATTTGCAAAAATCTCCAAGAAGTTTCTTTTGCAGTATAGTCTCATTCATTTGTTTTTTGTATCTTAGTCTGAAGAAAACATATAGCAGTCCAATTTGAGGAGTTCCTCCAAGTTCTTTTAGGAACACCAGAATACTTTAGATAACTGACTCAATGTATGCAATCAATAAATCTCTAAATTTTATGAAATACTAATCAAAATGCATGCACCTAATCAAAACCTGAAGATGTAGTAACTGTACATCTGAACTGAAAGAGTATGTATGTAAAATCAACTCAAAGAGTATATATGTAAATCAATGCAAAAAGTAAACTGTCAATTTACTAAACGTTTAAGAACATACTACTCTTCCTACCTCATAATTAAGCATACAGTAAATATATTAGATGGGTACACAAAACAGTTTATTGAAAAACGTTCATATTTTCCAAACAGGCATGGATATCTGAATTGTCACTTCTTAGAAAATCACTCTTCCAAAAGCATATAATGAGCCGTAGGCCCAAGTCAGATTACACTTTTTGGTTTCTATGATGCTTGACAGGTATTACTCACTGGGCTCTTCAGAAGATGTCATCATACTTTTTCCCTTTTTTTCTTGTATTAATTTTTAATTCAATTGGAAATTTATACTTTAAAACCTACAGTATGTATATTTGCTATAAAATCTTCTAAATATTTTGATCTTGTATTTCACTTCATCAGCACAGCATATTTCTCCTTCATCATACAGCGAATTCCAAATTTTAAGAAAACATTTCTTTGTTATTCCCTTGTAGCCTTGCAGTTGTATCAGTGACATTAAGCCAAGAATTGTTAGCTAATGACCACTTTTGAAGTGTCAGAATGAAGACACTAAACTGCTTAAGTGCTTCATGAGGCTGCCAAATTGCAAAAGGGTGGCAGAGAGAATGGGAAAGAACATTATAATTCTGCCACCAGCTTCCTGGTAGTGAAATCTTTAGTAATAAGAAGAACTACCTAGGAGCTGTCTGAAATCTTCTCAAGAGAGATTTCTCAATAGAAAGATAACCTTTGGTGAGACAATGCAGGAGCAACATTAACATTTTAACCTGAAGTATCATTTACTCTCATTCTAAGTTCAGAATGGAAAATATGTTTTGTATAAGAATAATAATTCTATCCCTTCTTATTTTTAGCCCTAAGTCTATACTGAACCTAAATGTCTGTTTCAATGTAATTGAGTTCTCCCAATTTTATTTATCCCATGGTTGTCCCTCCCAGAAAAAGAAACACAACACACAGACAACACTGGTGGTAACTGGTATAACTGGACTTCGTTGATCCTACTCAAGTTGGCAGAGAGGTTAGAATAGAAAAATTGCATTTCCTACAGTGAGAGTGGTTCCTTTAAGCTATTAATTATACCTAGCTTCTCAATCTGGAGCCAGCTGCATAATTTGTGAACATACTAAGAACCAGTGGATTAGAAACTTCAAATGCGTCAACTGTGTAAAACATGTGAAGTGTATTTAAATAAAGCATCTTTTCAAAAAGAATTTAAAAAGATGTTTTACATTAAAATCTAGTCATAAGAATATTATCTCATATTTATAAATAGTGAATGAGTATGTAAGGGTTTTTGGACTTTTTTGAGAGAGAAAAACAAAATAAGGCAAGGACAAGGAGTGGCGACATCTCTGTGTGTGAATGGATTGTACACCAAACGAATACATAGATAAGCAGTAAATATTTAATTGTTCTCAAATGACCAGCTTTTCCATTCAATGCAGATTACTAAATGTGGTATTTGCTAAAAGTCATGGGGATATATTTTATGAGCATCAACAAGTGTAATACTCACATCATTCTAGTTTTGAGTTCCCAAGAATGTTTCTGTTGCTACTGGTGTGTATGTTTTAATCCTTCAGGAAATTTAATGTAGGATAAGTAGAGCAAACTATTATACATTGATTTAGACCTTTGACACCACTCAGAGTAAGGTCTAAACCCTTCTTCCTTCTAAAAACAATTTACATAACATTCTTGATTGCAACAGAGTGTTGTCTATTATAATATCTTTTAAGCATAATAGGCAATTAAAATACATGTGATTACATATATCTCTTCAAGCTAGCAAAAATACATAAAAATAGTTGCATGTATTAATTTCCCTTTCTGATATGTATAATGTTTTGGTTAGGTTTGGCTATTAAAATTTTATTTATTTGATCTAAAAAAGGACAGTAAATAAAACATTTCTCTTAGCTAGTAAATTATGTGCTCCTCTACAATGCTGAATTAAAGAACTTTGGTCTCTTTCTTTTTAGCTAGATATAGAATAAATAACATTCTTTCAATGAACTATTAAATGAATATGTATTAATAAATAGAACAATATTCAGAAGTGCCTAATAATCTGCCTAACACTTAGAAAGCAATCAATCACATTAGCGTTCACTTTTAATAGTATGCCCTGGATTATTAATGCATTATTTTTCTAAAATGTCACAACGTCAGTGAGACGATATCAGAGTGCTTAATTTTTTCAAGAGTGTTTAAATGAAAATAGTCTTTGCAAAAAAGTTTCTGATCGGATGTTATTCTACATTTGAAGAAAGTCTGGCATGTTCCAAGCATCAATCCTCCTGCCAATGCAGTAAAAGTGAACACACAGGACTCTTGGTTTTAACAGTATGCTTTTCCCAATGAAGGAATGCATCAACATCAAAAATATTTGAGCTATTGGTCCTCCAAAATTTCTCTACCCATCAAACTAATCAGCAATCCCTGTAAACAACCAATAATAGAAAGGAAGGGGGTGTCCTGTGTCCCACAAGACTATGGGGGCCGTTGAAGCCTGAGTGCCGGAGTTAGAATCAGAGTGGAGGGCTCTTCTTTTAGGGACCCAGGCACCTAAGCTAAGTTCTTGGCCAAATTCTGGGCAACTTGTATGTATCTAC